AACATGAATGATGAAAGTAATGGGCCCAAGGCACGTTGATAAATTAAAATAATTTTGGTGATATGGATTGACAGATTATTTGGTTTTACAGTATTTCATGGTTGCCACGATAGACTGACACAACTGCAGTCCTTTCTTTTAATCAGTCCTAGCAGAATAACTGATCTGATGCAAATGACAGACAAGATTCCTTAGCTGAAGAATTTGAGGTCAAATCTGTTCAGATTATGCTTGCCTTGTAACTAAATTCAGCAAATCCGTTTTTAAAAACCCAGTGTTGCAACTAGTTAATTACGATTAGATATTGATCCTGACCCTGATGTCAGTTGCAGCAGTAGCCTGAATATATCCTTGGGGTTTTTTTCTGTTAATACAGTGATAGTTTATTTTACTCTAGCTCACAGTTGTGTCTTATTTGGAAGTTCTTGAGTATGTGGGCCTGCATGCTGGAAAAAACTAGAATGTTTGAGTGCTCCATAAAAAGAAAAAAATGGTAAAAGTTGGTTCAGGTCGGCTTTTTCTTCCCTTGGGGAACCACTTCATTGGATGAGACAATTCACTCTACAGGTAATATAGAAGCTAAAAAGGGAAATAAGATGAGGCAGACAATGAAAACATCAGGGCTGTTACCCCTGCTTAAGCTGGAAAGACAAATACAGCAGTCTGAATGGAGAAGGGCCCTAAGTAACAGCAGTATGTGAAGGGCTCAATGCCTGCAACACTTAGCAGTCTGAGAGCAGTCTATAGTGCAGTTTAGAAAAACCCTCTTTCCTTTACATGCACACACAAATGAGAGATCTGTTTCCCTAACCTTTGTCACCAAATGGAGGGATTAAATGCAGGATAACATCTACAAATTTAATTGATCAGAGCTGTAAAAATACTATTGCTGAAGAGCTGATGCATCTTCCTCAAGTTGTGGCTATCTGAGTTTTGTCAGCAGTTGCTACTTTCTTAAACAGATTGGAAAGAGCAAGAAGCAGAAATGATGTCGTGCTTTTTTGGGGAAGTGCTTGGTATCATTTCAAGGAGCACTGAATCCCATACAAGGAAGGTGGAATTTTGAAGTTAAAAAACATAGAGCTTGTGCAAAATACATTGATGTCACTGCATTTTTAATGAGCTTGCATGTTTGGTCAGTAATGATAATTATTAATGATTTCTAGTATATTTAGACATATACTTTAGTTCAGGTTCATGTGTTATTTTGATTAAATAATTAAATGAAAGTACAATAAACATGACATTCTAAAATAAATTAAAAACTGGATAATTGAGAGGTAATTGCAAAAGTGGATGAGTGTCTGAGTTCTACAAAAATGTGATGCCTTCTGTACTTGGCAGTGATTCAGGGGTTACCAGGGGGATTTGTTCAGTTCTGATGTTTGTACCTTAGGAAAAATAAGAAACAGTGCAGAAGATACCTCTTTAGAAGTTTAAAGGGGGGAAATAAAAAAGATAGAGGAAAGCAGGGCTCAGAATAAGAGCACATAAAGCACCTCCTACTAAAAGGGTTCAGAGAGCTTCTATGCTTATTCCATATTTCAGCAGTTAAGGCACTCTCCCCAGAAGGTGGAAGTTGAACTCATGACACTGGCAGTCTCAGTGGGTGTTGTTGGAGAAAAGGTCATCTCCTATGACCTGAGACAGGTCTGCAGGGAAGAGTTAAGCCTGTGAGTGTCTTTTTGACAGAAGTGCCAGTGATCTGAGGAAGGCTTACATTCATTACCTGAGGGTTTTGTGTTTCCTATGAACCAGAAAAGGCAGCTTCTCACAGCGCTGGATTCCATGAAGCCATTTTGGACCCCAGTTCTGTGAGAGTTGGAGAAATGAATCCTGTGACCTGGGGCAGTGAGTTCCCTGAAACATCAACACCTGAACAGCTAGCTCCTATGCACTGGTGATGGTTGTGATAACTGGAAAACTAATTTTGTGAATTTAACACTTCACCAGTTTTCTAAAGGTTACTTTTTTCCAGAATAGACCTGCAAGGCACTGTAAAATTGGATGGTTATATGATTGTGTTCACAGCTGTAAACGCAGTTCAGAATGATGCTCAGAGTCGGGTGAGGTGGTTGCACACAGCCTGTGCACTCTGGGACGTCTTAAGGAAGTGCATCCCCTACCCTTCAGTCTGACTAACCGGTGTCGTGTGGGAGATGATAGCGCAGCTAGCCATGTCAGAACGACAAGTGTAAGTGTGATGTTTTCCCTCCCAGACTACGGATGAGCGGGTTCGGCTGCTGGACATCCGCGCGAGCAGGTGGTACCAGTTCCGCGTGGCAGCTGTGAACGTGCACGGGACGAGAGGCTTCACGGCACCCAGCAAGCACTTCCGATCCTCGAAAGGTTAGTTCTCCGTCTCTGTGTCTGGTGCTCACCCTCTGCTCACTTACGCACGGAGCACAACCTGGTCTGCCTGTTTCTGTGGCAGGATGTTTTTAGCAGGTGGGATTTCGGTTAGTTTTTCCACCAGCTTTAGAAATGGTGTGAGGTATGTTTGAAGTCGACAAAGGAATTAAAGGTTAAAGATGTCATTATTCTTTTATCAGTAAGGGGTCTGAACGAATAAACCTCCTTTTTAAACATTTTCCGCATGGTTGGTATCAAACAACATGACCCTGACCATGAAACACGAAGGAACTGGGGTTTCAGTGTGTTATTCTGAGAGGTTTCTCTTGTTTTTCTTTTTATTTATGAGAAATATGTTGCTGCCGTATGTTTAGCAGAGTTAAATATTTTCGGAATATTTTGTTGCCTGTATCTAAATAATTGTAGCATCATTGCTTTGATGGAACTGCAGGCTCTCAAGATAATTTTCCCCTCGCTAGTACTAATTGTAAAGGCTTCATAATAAAAGGGGTATAAATGTGAAGTAGCATGTTTCTTCTGTTCATTAGAAAGGCATGCTGGACAATCCACAAAGTATTGTAGGAATTTTTGTTGCCGTTTCTGGTTTTGCAAGGGTTTGGGTAATGAAATAAGTCTGAAAATTATTTCTGTACCAGAAATGGTACCTGGGGAATGGGGAGATGGAAATGGATGTCCCAGGCTGTGAAGCTGCTGGCAAGGTCCCTGGTGTGCCTTTGACCCTTGCAAAGCCGAATTCTCCCGCATGACTGAAACATAGTATAGGAGTTAGCACAGGCCGGATACTGTTCCTGAAGATAGATGGTCAGGGTGTGGTCATCCTGGCTTAAAGGCAGTTGATAATGTAGGCACAGACAGACAGTGCTACTTTGACTTTAGTACCAAATAATGAGATTTATCACTCTTCACTCTTCTAATAGAGGTAGTGTCTAATAGAAAGACTTGTCTTTGTTTTAGCAGTGACAGAATCTTTACACTGGTGTAACACGTACTTCAAGGAATGCACTTCTTCCTCTTTCTGCAGATAGAATTATCTTGCAATACAGGCAGTTGCCATCCATGGGTTTCCATGCTAGCCTTCCGCTTGCTGTTTGGCCATAGTCAGTCCTAGAAAAAATCTTATTGTAGATGCAGTTACAGAGGCATGCAAGTGCTTTTGGTGGTATGGATGGTTACTGAATAAAGTATACATTAGACTCAATAAATAGCCACAATTGTGCTGGAAAGGTTGGCTGGCATAGCTGTCCCATTACTACTGTGACCAGAAACCTTTTCAAGTATAAAAGCATTATTTTAAGAATTTATTCTACTTAAGTAGTGCATCATTTCAGTCACACAAAAAATACAGTTCCTTCAAGCTGTGTTGAGCTTACTGCAAGGACTCAGCAGCAGCAGTATCTTTCTTTTTGCTTTTCTTCATGGGTAGTACTTCAGCAGATACAACACTGTATTGCTGAATCTGGCACCAACTTTCTTTTAAACTCAGATCATTCTCAGTTGTTTTACTGAGTTTGTAAAGGCTTTCCAACTGTTCTGCTTGGAACCACTATAATTGCAATTACATTAAGGTATATCATGATATCACAGAGGTTTTGGCTTGAGCTTGACTTTTTCAGGCTGGATTTGTATTACTTTCCAGAAAATTCATCTACTACTGAGTGAACTGGCCACAGGAGCATTTTGTTCAAAAAACCTACATTGGTAATGAATATAAGAACATCCATGATAACTCATAATGAAGGTCTCTTTAGCCCAGTATCTGACCTCATCCAAAAATGATTTTTTGGAGGACAGCATAAGAGCAGGATAAGCATATAGGGATATTTCTTCAGAATAGCCTCCCAGCTGGCAGTTATTTCTGTTTCAGGAGCTTGTGGTTTTGAAATGATTACATGTCAGATACCAGAGTCCTTTTCTCCTGTGGTCTCTGCAGCTCCCCCTGAAACACTTGCTCTCTGTGAGCAGTGTGCGTGTTCTTACCTAATAAACCAAAATAATGGGATCTTGATAATTGCAGGAAGTATGTAGCCAGCATTGTTCAAAAGCCTTTATAACCCTCAAAATAATAATTTTCAAATCTGAACTCCAGCCCTTGGCAGAGAATCGTGAATTGCCAGACAAACAGCAAGGAATTCAGTTAGCTATCAGCTTTGTAGCCAAAATCATCCTACTCTGGCAGCTCATTTGACGATTTTAGAGGCTTTGGTAATATCAGTGGTTATTATAAAGCTACTGTGTTCACCAGATGAAACATGTGGAAGCACTAGGTGACACAGACGAAGATGCTGCCAGGTGGTGGCTCTCAGGAATGATATGGGGATGCCTCAATCAGTATGTCTTAGTCTTCATGTCCCTGAGTAGGCGCTCAGAGCAGTCGCGTTTCTAGTGTCATATAGACATTTAATTACTACTTTGGAGCTCAGTGGGAAGTGGCGGCCCCTGCCTGGCAGAGAGGCAAGAAACTGCAGCTCAGATGTGCCTAGTTTTTTGAGTGCCAGCATCTACTGGCCCCTGCTGAGCTCCTACAGGCACATTTAACCTCCAGTTTGGAAAAGGAAAGCGGACTTTGGCACATCACCTTTGGAAGGTTGTCTGACTGTCTGCGCTGCATTTATGTGAAATGTGGACAGAAATGCATATTAGCTCTTGCAGTGTTTCAGTTCACCCTGTTGTGCCAAGACCCAGAGCAGATTATTATCTTCATCAGACTTAACAGAAGTTTTCTTCAAAAAAGAAACCCTTTGATCAGGAAACATGACAGCAATTCCTAAGACAGTTTTCTCACACAAGATGCTGAACTTTTACCAATTGCTTATAAGTTATAACGAATAGCAAACTATTTGGGTTTATTTCCTCTTTAAAGGAGGACAAACAGGATATAAAAGCTGAATTTAGAGGGGGAGTATGGCACCACAGTGTCTCTGTCATTAAATATTTTATGCTGTTAAAAAGAACATTCAGAAACTATGGTGCTGTAATTACTGGGAGACAGACTTTTTGTCTAGTTACCACAATACTGTTACATACTATTTTGCATTTTTTTGCAAATGCAAAAAATATGATCTCTAAGTAGACACATCAAAGTAAGGTTTTGTTTTATTCAAAATACTGTTAATTCTTCTGAGGTATGTAACTTCCATTAACTTTTCTATCGCTAAATAAAGCTTCTTATTAGCCAAATTACCTTAATTTACCAGTCATGAAAAAGACAAAACCAGGAAAACAGGGGTATTTCATTAAGCATTCCAGCTTACCATTCTTCATTCTAATTGTGTTTTGAGGTTTTATCTACTGCAGCTTTTGATGCTCTTACACTGTAAATGTTTGAGGTAAAAGTTTATTAGCTGCTTTACACTGCCTCATGTGTTCATTCGTAGCATTAATCTGTAAACAATAAATAAAGTGACACAGCTGAGATAATTTATGACATATTCAGAGCTTAAGCAGCGAGAATCCTTTATGCTGTTTATTTCTGTTTTATAAAGGAAATAAAAGATTTGCATATGCTTGTCTGGCATGGCCCTTCACAGGGAATGAAGTGATGGCAAAATGTGATTCTAAAAATTACAAGAAACACAGATTAGACTACACCTATCTTTTTGGAGCAGAGTGGCTAGGAGATGAAGTGAATACTGCACCTAGGAGAGTGGGTTCTTTCCTAGAAGTAAAATTCTGCATATGGATTTATAGATGGATATTGCAACCTAAAATTGGTCAAAACTTTCTGCTATTTTGACAGTGGTTCTCACTTCATTTTTCAGGGGTTTTAAATTGTGATTTTCTTTTCATATTCAACTGAGGGGCAACAACTGGCAATACGGCAATAAATAAAACTAACAAATACCTGACAGAATATTTTTGATCCCCAAAGGTACAAATGTATTTCTCTTCGTATTTTGACTGGCTCCCTCTAAGCAGCCTCATTTTCTCTGCAAGCAGGAGAGGACTGTTTCTACAACCCATAAATGAGTCTGCTTGGATGAAAAGCTACCTGTACTTTTCTCCCATTAAGTGAGCACCAAATAGCGTAACCCAATGGGTCAGAAGCTGTTTGGCACTAATAATACAATTTTTAATTTCTTGCATTTGGGTAAGAGTTTTTAGGGGATTTTTTTCTAGCTTTTTATGACCTATGTTGTGAATGAACTCTTAGTAACAGAGACTGCAGTTAACTAGAGGGATCAGTGTTGGGCATTTCCACATAATATATTGTCTTGCCAGTCTGTAGTTAGGTACTGTGCCATTTCCCGAGACAAAAAGGGGTGATGAGATGAGCACAATGAGCCTAAGACATCCGATCCTTCTACCTCTGCTAAAGGTTTTTGTCTTCAACATGAAGGCAGTTGCTAGCATACACAGGATAAATTGTCAAGCAAAAGGAAGCAGACAACATTTTTTTCACAGCACATAAGTACCATACTGGATGTGATTTCATGCATACATTACTGGGTGTTAGTAAAACCAGAACAGACACCCACTCCCGGCAATAAAATTCTTTCTGTTGCTCCTTTGGGACCAATGTTTTTTTTATGCCGTTGCACAGCTGGTTTATGTGTGCCATTTCCACTGGGCAAAACCAGTCCCCCTGCTTATGCCTTGGAATTGTTTAATGGTTGGAAAGTTGTCTGTAGAGCAGCTTCAGCAGATTTTTAGAGCTGGAAGGTCTGATGTTTAAAAGATAGCAATGGGAGATCCATTTTAAGTGAGGAAAAAAAAGGGTTTAAATTAGAGTGAAACTTGATATCACTTTCGTAGCTCAGAATGAGAATTCCGGTTCCAATACCATTATTTTCTTCTCTGACATATATTCCAAATCATTTACTGTTTTCATTACAGTTGCCCCATTTAAAGCCAAAGTGGTTACATTGCAGCAGTGTATGATGAGATTCTTGTGTATAGCTTGCCCCCACTATTTTGTTAAGGTTTCAAAGTGCTTCCAGATCTTATTGATTGAAAAAATTTTGTAAAATATAAATTGTCTATCGCTGTGTTTTCAAATATGACTGGAGGAAGATGCAAATTTGAAATAGTGATGATGTGAGGGTTTTCATTTTTTCTTTTATTTGCAGCAAGGAATCCTCCCTTTTGGGGACTGGAGACAGAGTTTTGCTTGTGATGGCTAAGTAGTCAGCAAGACAAGAATTTAAGTCCTTTGGGTGTACTCAAGCCAGATACAATCCAGACAAATGCAGTTTTTACTCCATGTGCTGGAATAGCAGCTTCAGCCTAATGAAGCTATCATTTCTAGCAGCAAGAAGTGATTTACTTGTCAGGCTGCTGAGATCAGATTTTTTTTGGATTTGAGGACAACTGTCTGTGCCAAATTCTAGTATATATATAATGACTTTTATTTTATCTGAGTTGTAGTATAAACTGCAAAGGAAAAGCTGCAACTAACATCACTTTCTACACACCAAAGAATTTGATTTAACACTCAGATAAATTTGTGTATATAAAATTTCAGAACTTTACATTTGAAAAACTGGCAGTAGTTCCCGTTCCAGTAATTTAATGTTCCTGTGTCTGAATTATACATGTGGGCAGTCAGTCAAAGGGATCACAGATACATGAAGACTAACAGTAGAATGGCATTTCGCTTTATAGTCAGCAGAATGCCAGTTTAGCTTCATTGTCAGGTTAATAAACACCTTATGTTTATAAGCTTTATGATCCAGTATCAGTTATTAGACCTTGAAATATTTCAGCATGAGTTATACACTGCTTTTAATGTCTGCATAGACACAAGCATAACAGAGCACCATGTAGAAGCATGACTTTTCCTTTCAGCAATGCAGTAGTGAAGGCTTAAAGAAATCAGAAAAACCCAACTGATCTGTTGTCTGGTAACTCGCAGGCGTGCATGATGGAGGAGCATGCACTACACTTAACAGTGTTTTGGGTTTGGGGTCTTTTTGGAGTTTTGGTTTTTCTGAGGGGTGCTTGGGAAACGTTTATTTTGTTTGGTTTGGTTTTGAGGGTGGGGTCTGGGTTGTTTGAGGTTTTTTTCTTGTTAATAACAGAGATTGGAATATCTTGCCTTGCTGCTATTCCTTCTCACCTGTTTGTTTTGCTGGTGAAGAAGTCCTTTCAAATGAAAGAAAAGGTTAATATTCTTGATTTTTTAGCTTACAGAGTGATAGTTCTGTCAGTTGTAATAGTGATGAGTCTCACAGAAATATATAGAAATAGATGAAAAAATCATATAGTTGTGTTGAAATACTTAATAAATCCTCAGCTGATACAAAATGCCACTAAGTGGCTTCATATTTCAGGTAATACACCCCAAATCCAAAAAAAATATATTTCTGTTGTGTCTCTACTATCAGAGGTTGTTTTCAAATGATGAAGTGCAAAATCATAATAATATTTTTTCATCTTTGACATCTTATGTCCTTGCAGTTTATTATTTTCTCCACTTAAGTCTGCTAGTTTAAAAAAGCTCTTCTAGAAAATGTGGCACTTTCAAATGTCTTGCATTTTCATGTCTGTCAACTGTAGATGTTCCCTTCTGCCTTCTGCTGCTACCACCACCACTCTTCCTCCTGTTCCAAGGCATTTTTTTGGAGGACATTTGCGAAGCTGGCAAAAGAGAAACTTTGAAGAAAGGGGACACTCAGAAAAATGTTTTTGCTATTGCTGTATTATCTCACATATGTAATCCTTTTAAGAGGACGTTCATTCTTTCCTTAACTGTAGTTGCCCTATGATTTTTAAAACAGTGCTTACACTCTCCCATGGCAAAGGAGAAACACTGCTAGGTTTTCTTTTAAATATGCATCAGCGTTTTGTTTGCTGACTGGACTGCTTCTATTGAACATAGAAGAAATGCTACTGATAAAGTAATGTTTGCAATAAACTGCATAATTATAAAAAGTACAGGGTGAAATGCTGGTGCTATAGAAGTCAGAAGTGGTCTATTGGTTTCAACATGCACATGTTTTCTTTTTCTGCTTACGTTACTGGGAAAAACAAGGACGTTTGAAGTTACCTTAAAAGAAAATTCCTGTGATGCTGAGACATATAAAAGCTCCCTACTGGGCAATCACTAACTTTATACAAGGAAAATTACACACTCTCTGGCATTGTTATGGGGACAGAAACATTTGAAAAGGAAGAACATAAATTTGGTCATTTGCTTTCAGACCTATGAAAAATAAGTGAATAACTTTAAGATGGTTTTAATTATGTAATACATTTTGTCCAAAAGAGCTGTTTTCGTTTAACTTTTAGATTTTTTTTTAATGCCTCTCAGTGTCCTTTATAGATGCAGAATGAAGACAAGTAAGTTTTATGTTTAGAATTGTTTTAGCTTATATCTGACCATTTGTAAGACATCATCTGAAACATTTTATTCTATCCAATATGTTATGTATACATAATACATGATGCATAGTACTTCTGGGAGATAACCTGAAAAATTCATCTACAGTAATATGATCATGTTGCACTTCAGGTTATAAATGTTTTATTGCCATAATACGTTGTCAGATAACATAACCTCCCCCCTTAACATTTTAAATCTGTGAAGATGAAAGATTTTGACTTTATGAATCATGATTCTGTTTGTATTTATTTTACCTAAATTTAATTTTACACCTCCTTATTTTATTGAACAACAGAAGTAAATGAGAAGCTGTGTTAGAGAACAGTGCACACCATTTAACTAAATTAAATTCTTAAATTTGTCCCCTCCAATATAAATACCTCTGTATGCTTTAAGATGGAGTTGTTGGCTACTTCAGAGGTAAAGAAATTAGTATGAGCACAGTGCTTCTCCAAAGCCAGACAAAAATAAAGGGAAGTCTCTTGGAACTGGCTTGCAAGCTGATTAAAAAAACGAGTTAAATTAAACTGAATTAAAAAAATTATATTAAATTTCCAGAATTCATAAACTCAAATACGCTTTGTAACTTCTATAGCCAAAAGTTTGGTTGAATTACATGTGTGAGGAAACGGGCATCCATTGTTATTTAACTAAGAGTTCTGTTAAATAACAGGACTAAGCCATTATTTCACATCTGCTGATCTTTATAAAGGAAATGCTGTCTTTATTAATTCTGAATGTGTCAGTTTGCATGACCTACATGATGGAATTTTTCAGTGAGACCATTTGTCATAGGGATTATCTGATGAACTTAGTATGCCTGGAAAGTTTATTTAACAGCTCATTTACCATTATAAAAAGATGCAGGTGAACCATACAGTAAATGAATGCCTGGTGTCCCCTCTGCACACCTCCAGTTTTCTCTCGGGCAAATAAGTGGTGGCTAATTTGGCAAAAAAGTTACATGAAAATGCTTTCGGTTTTTTCGATTAGATTGTTTTTTCTTGGTGTTTGCTTCATAATATGCCTTAATTACTATGAATTTCTTTTATTCTGCCTGATATATTTTTAATTTTAATTTTTTTTTGAGTCACACTGTTAAATTTTACTGAGATTTTTGGTTTGCAGTTTACTTATACTTTGTCACCAATGTTTGGCTACCACGAGCATTTAAAAACAAGTAGGAGTTGAAAAGTAGGATTAAAAAGTAGAAGTTAGTGAATAGCAAATGAAGAAGCTCAGTTGCAACATTTCCATTGATTCACATTACTCAGGATATTACATAGGAGGTGCACAAGGAAAACCTAACATTCAGTATTCAAAAAAGGTTCAATATTGGAACGTCTTGCTGTCAAGTATCCTTCTTGACTCTAGGGTCAGCACAGAACCAGCTGAAGGAATAATATCTCAGTTGATATTGACCAAAAATTAAACCAAAATAGGGAAATAAGTCACAGGGGTAACTAATTGCTTTTTGTTGTTCAAAAAAAACATCGTAGACTTCTCTGACATAATGTATCATTACATCTTAATTGTATTTATTCTAAGGTAGTGTTTATGTCCTATGGTGGTGGATATCAACACTAGAATTTTGAAGAAAGATTCAGTATGTATAAACATAATTTCATCATCTGAGAATTGTCTGTAAACACAGACAAGGTATTCAGTGTTTCCACCATAGGATTCTGTCATTACTATACAAGGCCACTTGTAGAACCCACATGTTTTACACTCACTTTCTATTTAAAGTAGTGAGTGACAGAAGTAAAAGTGACATACATTTTGATAAAGCCTCATAATGTTTGTAAACTATCAACAACACAGAATAATGACAAAACTAGATGCTAACCCATAATTTATATTATAGTAAATCTTGAATTTCTACAAATTACAAGAAGCCTTATCACTTATGGGAAATTTTGTGTATTGAGAGTTTTTTCATCCAGCTCATGTATGCCTGTTAAATACATAAGATGAAGATAATCTTTACCTTATTGAAGATGATCTTTACTTTAGAATATTTCGGTTTGTTTTGAATTCCAGATCCGTCTGCTCCACCAGCTCCATCTAATATCAGAATTGCCAATATCAGTGCAAACAATGATGGGAGTGTAAATGTGATGATTACTTGGGATCTTCCAGAAGAGCCTGATATTCCAGTACACCACTACAAAGTCTTCTGGAGCTGGACATACAGCAAATATGTAATCCCAGCTAAAAAAAAGAGAAGGAAGAGTACTGATGGGGTAAGAAAGATATTAGTAAGACAGAAATATAGCTTATTTCTGGTACAAAATAGAATGAGAGTTTAAAATATGTGATAAATTACAATGATTTCAGCAGCTGGTGAAGTAGCAGTCTTAATTTTTAATATCACCAACCCCTTAGACAACTTTGATATCAGTCTTTTTCGTTCACTGTACTCAGGGAGAGAAGTAGACTTCTGCCCTAAAATGCAGGTAAATACTATAAAGTTTTCAGGAGAGATGAATAGAAAGTTAAATGCTGTTTGTCCTCTCAATTCAGGCATATTTTATTAGTGCTTCTTAAAGACAAAGTGCTTGTTTTATTTAAAAAACATCATCTCTCATATTGTTCTTTCACTGGGAATAAAACTTGTGACACTGTCATAGAGGATAACCATGAAACAGTCGGTATCAGTCCAAGAAAAAAAACAAACTCAAAACTCTTTAAGTAAGCTACTTTACCAAAGATCTGACGTATTTCCATATAAGCAAGTTCCTATGAGTTTCTTGATTGATATATCAAATACTGCTGTACTAGGAAACTAACTGTTGGGATATCCTTAAACATATTGCATATTATTTTAAAGTAGTTAATAGAAATAGAGATCAATTACAGATAACAGACTGATCTTAATTCTCAGTGCACGTTGTGAGAGTTTTGTCCCCTGTCTACGTTAATACTGTATTTTGCCACTGGCTGCCCCGTTGCACTGTGATGAATGACAGCCAGAGAGGTATAGTTCCCTCTCTGTCCCTCAGCCACCAATCCCTGAGAGAAATAAAGGCAATGAAGGCTGTGTGCCAAGTTCATCTACAGCAGATTAGACACGACAGAGGTGCTACTGTCGGAGCTTGCCGGTTCCCTTGCCTTCTCATGGGAACTGATGGGTGGATGGGTGGTCAAGATATGGAGGCTGCAGAGCCACCACCACCAGCTCTCTGCCTGGCAGATGGGAAATGGAAATTTCCCTGCAAATGTAGACAATATGGTGTAATTTCAGGGGCTGAGATAACTTGGTTCTTTGTTTCTGCTTCAGTTAAATACTCTTTCTTTTTTTTTTTAAAGAAAAAGGTAAATATGCATGGAAAAGAAATTTATTTCTTCCTTGTACTTTAAAAAGAAAATCACTTTGGGAACACAGGAGTAGGGTTGGACTGTGCTAGGTAGAAAAGTTTGTGATTGTCAGGAAAGCTGAGAATTGGCTGGAGATCTTCGTGGCAGAGGCTACAGTCTTAAGATACAGGGGCTATTTCTGTCCACAAACTGGTCCTTAAAGCACAAAGACCAAAGAATTTAAAAATTGAGCTGGGTCCTTAATGTTGTTTTGGCATTTTATGTAAGGCACATCCTATGGATAAATATGTTAAAACAGATCCAATATACAACATTACAGTAATGCGGACCAAGTTCTGACCTTCAATACAGGGAAATCCAGAAGAGCCAAGGCATATTTTAGGGAAAAAGCAGGCTTTTCAGATATCTTCCTTATTAATCCTGGCTCATTGTACTTCTTTTTCTGTGACATGTCATGAAACTGTACCGCAATGACAGTGAGATGCAGAGTTTCCCCACAGGACACTACTATTACTATTGCTAAGCAGTGGACCTTCGAATATTAGAGTAACCCTTCTGTCTAAAAATTGAAACTGCAAAAAACTTTAAAAAAAAAAAAGTGAAAAAATCTTATTTTTTAAAGATCATTAAAGATTTTTTACCCAGTTTTTACCTTTAGATTTAAGCTAGGCCAAATAGTTTTATAATTATTTCCATATGAAATTATTCCAGGTAGACATTCAAATGACTTGACTACAATATTAACACTGTTAATTGAGGTTTATAGTCAGTGTTACATATATCTCAGCACAAAACCAGTAAAAGTAATTGATATGAATGCTTCTGACAATCCCCGAATTGTTAAATATGGCAGTATGTGTTTATCTTTTTCATTCTGGATTGACTGTCAAACTTCAAAGGCAAAAAGTATTATGATTCTTAATGTCTTCTATATGAGATATGGGCTAGGAGGGCATTTTCATAAATACATTTTACAAAAATCTAGATATAAGAATATTGAGAACCCTTGGCTCTTCTTTTCAGTATCATGGGACTTGCCTTCATTTATGGGTTATTGACCTGAGACTGATAATCCTGCTCTGGTGTTTCCCCATTTCAGACAATTCCAGGACAATAGAAACTGTTTTTTTGTCTGTTGTGTTTTTCATTCTATAGCAGAGAAGTGTTCTTACCAATGAAGGGGGTATTTTTGGTTGTGGGTTTTGGATTTTTAATTATATTTTCCTTTTCAGCAGTTGAAACAAATAGAAAATATTGACAAATATACTGAATTTTGGATTTTAGCTGTCTTTAGACTGAATGTCTGAATTCAGTTTCAATTACTTTGCTAACACAGAAATTGGGGGATAAAAAAGTTTAAATTTCTTTGGCTAAAATACTTTTGGCCTAAGAAAAGAACTTGCTATATGTAATAAGGCCCTTTAGTTTTGACCTAAACAATAGATGTATGTAGTTGCCAAGTATGTGCCAAATTTATGTAAACATCAAGAAGGTTAATATTTTAAAAAGTACACAGAAAAAGAGTAAAATATAATACATGTTTTAAAGGAAGGAAGTTTTGCTCTGTTGAAATTTGTACATGAGTTTTCTAATTTCAAAAGACTAATGTGCGTAAGATATCAGGCCTGCTTTTAATAAGGGCCTGTGTTTCAGTAATACTATAACTACTTTGTATATTTATTCTCCTCTATTATAGGCCCAAAACTATGTGATCCTGGAGGGACTCCAGCCCAACAGCAACTACAATGTAGAACTGCAGGCAGTAACACGCTGGGGTCAGATACGCCTAAAAAGTGCTAAGGTTTCTCTCCATTTTAGCACAACTCAGGACACCAGGACTAATAGTGAGTACTTGTATTCAAACACCTGAATGCTTTCTCTCTTCTTTATCTGGAATTAATGCTTTATATAATGATTTCTCAAATTAGAAATCATAATTTTCTTAAATCTTTCTGTTTCATATCACAGTGATCCTGTTACGGTGAAGTTGATTAACCTTTTAATGTTAAATTTCTCATCTAAAAATTGGTGACAGTTTTAGCCTAATTCTTTATCTTAGATCCTACTCACCTGAAATAAACAAATGGAACAAAAATGCATTTGCATACATTTGCATGAATGTGGTGTCAATATTTTTTAAATGTAATACAGGTGGATACCTAGTATATTTGAAGCATATTGTTGGTGTTTATGAAAGAGAGAATCATAGAACCGTTAGGGTTGGAAGGGCCCTTAAAGATCATCTAGTTCCAACCTTTCCATTAGGGCCATGAAGTAAAGGATTCAAGATTCTTTGAGCCTAAACAACAGATATCACACATTTTAGTGGATAGAGCACTCTGCTGAGAAATGCATTTGGACCTTTCTGGAAATATGAAAAAAGTGGCTAAATTACAGCTTCACAGAAAAGCAAATAAAAATTACTCCTGAAGGAGATAGAAATTCATTTTCTTTTGAAACTCACTGAAGTTAGCTACAGAGCCAGTACTGCTTGAGGTACTTTTGAAAATACTCAAAAGCAGATGGAAAAATATGGAGAACAACAAAAAAAAAAAGTCCTGAATATGATCTAGGCCATGACATTCACACCCCCCTCTTTATCTGAGGGACTTCCATGGCCTTTGGGAAGTAGTTCCAGAAACAACATGCCAATTTTTCTGAAGACCCACTCTCAGTTGCTCTGCTCTCTGTGGAATTAAGCTTTGGGTTTTTTTAGATGTCTGTCCCTATTGTCGCAATAGAGGGTCCATAACCTACTAAAGTAATTTAGTCCTACAGACCAATGTGAGCTTTGACCCTGGCCCTCTGATGTTTTATTAAAAACCTCACTGTATTTGTATACTTCACTGCTGGGAAATGCAGTAAGACTCTCTCTCTTGATCATCATACAGAAATATTCTAAATTGATGTTCTGGTTTTTCTGGAAGGGGAGCAGACAGACAGCAGCAAAGCAGAGATTTAGTAAAATTGAAGTGCTTTAAGTTGAGGTATACCTGATAGATTTAAGTTTGTACGTCTATCACTTTTTGGTTTCCTTTTAGGTTGTATAAACATTATGGTTACCTTCAGAAAGAATTTGCTTAAGTTTGGTAGTTTTACTTTAATGTGAAACAATCAAAGAAAAACTAAAATTGTATCAGATTAAGCAAAGGATTGACAAAGTAAAATTTGGCCAAAAAGCAAGTGGGTTTCAGCTGAAGCTACACGTAGCACACAGTGTTCAAGTTACATGTTACCCATGGTAATTGTTGAAACCTGAGTCTTTCCCTCTTTCTCTGAAGTATGCAGTTAATAATTTACCCCTTCCTCATTATTAGAACCTTTACTTTTCCTTTAGGTGTATTATTGAATTAAATATAGGTGAGGGTTTTTTGTTGTTGTTAATCCGATGTAAATACTGTCCTCTTCATCAGAACTGAGATATTTGCCAAAGTGCAATGGAAATGCAGTTTGAATCAGCACGGTTGGCTTTTCAGCTGAAAATATCTAGAAATACTGTCAACCCTGCTAAATGTTAATGAACTGTTGCCAAACGAAATGCTTTATGAAGGACATCCCGTTACCATTGCCTGTTGGAAGCTAGGCACATAACACCAAAGGAACTGCTCAAAGTTAATTCTGCTTTTACAGTGTTTTCCTAAGTGTTCACTGTTCACTGCTGGGAACAGGAAAGTGAGCAAGAAAGATTTTTAATCTGACCAGAGTGTTTTATATAGCATACCAAAGGACTGTATTAATTTGATGTAATAGCCACATGTGGCATTCTGTGGGTTACACTCAATGCCATCCTTGGGATTTGTGTGTATTCAGACTCTGCATAAATATAAACACCATGAATGCAGAACTACAGTTAGATATTATACCTGTTTAAAATGCCAATGTATTAACATTTCCTGCTTTTGGGGATATAAATACATTCTCTTTCCTTATTCTTTTGAAAATTTACAGAACATTTTCATATTGAAATATATTTATCTTTTTCTCTCTCTGTCCAAAATATATTTTTTTACTGAATTTCAAACAAATTATATGCTTTTCAACCATTATGGATGGTTTGTTCTTTATATCCATTTCATTTGGATATGATACTAGAATAAGATAATTTGAATTAAAGTATTATTTTCTGAGTTTCAGCACTGTTAACATAGTCATATGGCACTGTGCTTAGATAAATAATTCCTGATTTTACTATGTATTGCAGAGGAACAGACATCTTCTGCTGTGAAACCCCGGAAAGGGCTTGTAGATCCTTACCCAACATTTCAAAGAAGAAAAACTACTCGTTTTCTTAAAATTGGAACTCCTTTCTATCAGGACAATCAACTTCAGGTCAAAGTCTACTGGAAGAAAACAGGTCTGTCAGATTTTAATTTTACTATTTCTTCTAAGGAGGAACTCTCATCAGCTGCCTCAGAGTTTTAGAACATTGATATAATACAATGAACCTTGTAGAATTATTCAGAGTTAAATCCTACGCCCAGCCTTCTTTCCCTTCACCTTCACGTGTGGAACACTGCCCTCCTCCTTGTGTCATGGATGTGTAAATGTCTGGCAGAGAGAAATGACGTGAAGCAGCTATCTGAAAATTACAGTCAGTCATGTTGGGACACTGAATCTTCCCAGATTTGAGATAATTTCGAGTTTGGTAGAAATTGCTTCTGTGAAGTTTGAAATAGGGAAGCAGAATTTGGTATGTTCAACAGAATTTTTGTGGCTATGAATATTGTCTCTCTGGAGTGTGGCTGGAGGGTCTATGGCACATACAACTTCTGAGCAGATTTTCTGCTGATGCCTCTGCAGTATCTTGCTGGACTTGTTTGACTTTGTCAATTTGACTTTGACAATTCATTCAGAGAAATGAATCAGAAAATTAATGTATACAGAAATCATGCAGTGATGTCACAAAAACTAAATTCTGGTTTGAACCACAAAATTTAGAGTTTTACTGGCTCATGTTAAGGTCACAGTAGACTTTATGCCATACCTTGTCAGTCACCTTGAATTAGAACAGGATGAATAGTTGGCCACAACCACTGGAAAAATCTTTAAGTTGGTTTTCTGCTAGGCTGCACGCACCCTTCTGTATTTCAGAAAAATTCTAACAGCAGGTTTATGTTTAAGTCTTCCAGTCTAAAGGAAAATGTCATAAATTTTAAGTGTCTAATCAGATTCAGGAATCAAAAAAGGAGTTTTCCTTTCTTCCACTTTAGGAGCATACAGGTTGTTACACATTGCTCCAGCTTAGCCGTAACAGGTTCATATGCTGTTATTTGAAAATGTGCTAACACTGTTAGTGTTTGAACTTGGAGCAATCTACTTGTGTAGCAGTAGCGCACATATACAATCTCTTCGATTTTTGTGTTTGAAAGAAAGGGCTGTCCCGCTGTGCCAGGGATGGATGGGTTGAGTTCCTGAGGTACTGACTGTACAGCTGACTCATCCTGTGTGAATCTGTGTACTTCCAGTTCTGTAAGAGGGAGACCCAGAGGTCCCTTTTGGTCAGGGGGTGGGAGCAAGCTCTGTCACATGTGCTGGGGTCTTTAGATATTCGCCCCAGCCATGCAGTGGGAGTTATCTTCATTCTTCTCACAGAACAAACAGTGATAGCAAAGGTCTGTGAAGAGGGGGCAGCACATGGCAGTGTGTAGTTTTTCCTTTTCTTTTTCAAAAAGAAAGTATCTGTGTTCTGAATGACAGTGCATGCAGTAACTCAGCAGGAGCCATTGCCTCATGTGGAACTGAAATACAGCCCATGACCTGCTCCTGAGAACCTAGCAGCTTCTATAAGCTCTTACCGGAGTTGGGAGGTTATGTCATATGTGGATGAGGTACTGACTGTAAATGTAATAGTGACAATTTACTGCAGAGCAGTTCTTTTTCACCGTGCAAGCAACACAGCAGGAGAGGCATATTGGCTGTGTCTTATCTATATGAAAGACAGCAGTTACTGGAGCCAGCTGTGCTGGGTGGGAACTGTACCCCCACGTCTTTTTCCTTTGTGAGCTGCACTGTCTCCAGTCATAGGGAGTTGTAGGGGGTAGTGTCATTTGCAGATGAGCCTCTAGGAAGACAGTGAAAGGCCACAATGATGACATCAGGACTGAAACTCTTGGTTTATATTATCTCTCTGGATAGAATTCATCAGACTTCTGTCCTGGCTTTATTATACAGTAAAGAAGTGATTACTTATCAGTAGTCAGAAACTGAACACAGTATTTGAGTTAAAGTCTGAGTAAGTGGATGGAAGATCCTATTTCCATATATATACGTCATAATGCAGCACAGTTTGGAGCAGGAAAGACTTTTTTAGGCCTGTTATTCAAGTGCATTTCTTAAGTCCCATTAGTAAGCACAAGGCATGAATGGAATGTAGGATCTGGTCTTTACATTAAAATAAATCTCTTTCTGAAATAATCTTTCAGTTTGAATGCTTCGGTATGATGGCAATAATAACTTTACTTCAGGATATATGCTTGTAAAAATAACTCCACACTTCAAGCAGTAAAAGGTGCTTAGCAAATGCACATAATTTTGCTAGACAGAGTTATCACAAAAGCGTATTGTAATTATATGAATACAATAGCTTCTTTCTGAAAGGAGAAAATGTCTTTCACTTGCTGCCTCTGATTTAGGCCTGGGATTAAAGAAACACAGTACATTCCTTAAACAGCATGAATCCCACTTTTGTAAATGAAAAGAAGAACTTACTTGTGGCCAGATTTTTTTGGCAACTAGAAATTATTTGCTATTTATGTCCAATAGTAGAATCAACTTAAACAAATCACTTTTAACTCCTTGGTGCTGGAGTCACAGTGTACCATCCATTACCAAAAATGGATCCACTCTGAAACCCTTACTTTAAATGATTAGCTACTTAGAATAATTAAGATCCTCATTATGTTGTGCAGTAATCAAGACTGAAACTGTGAAATAAAAAGATCCTGATGTTTCCTCTGTTCCTCAGTGGTTTGGTGACTAGAGTGCTGCAGTTTTGGACTTCAACTAAAAAGCTGTTAAGTTGCTGAAAATTTGTGTATCTTCAGGGTATGAAAATAAGATATTTCCCATAGACAGAAAGGAAAAAAAAAATTTCATTATGAGCTCACTGCATCAATTCTCATCACTTGCTGCAATAATTATAATACATTAAAATAATAGAATGTAATTTAGTATGATGATTTCTTTCCAAAGGAACATGTCACAGAAAGATTTTCTAGCTCATTACTCTGCATTCACTACTGTTTTCTCAGTGCCTGTTATGTGAGCGTAGCATAAATCTCTTCGCTCAGGTAAAGCTTTAGTTTCCTTCACTTTTCTTTGAATGAAGTCTTTGAGCATTTACTTCCCCTGTTTAAATTAAACATTTAAAGTACTTCTAGATATTTAAAATCAATATATCTGCTCCTTGGTTTTGCTTAAAAGGACAAATATTTAAAACACATTAAGACTTGGCTTCAGGCTTCTTTCTTTGTGTTTCTGGTAAATGCTAAAGCAGGGAGAAAAAAAAAGAACACTTAAGGGCAGGGAGAGGCAAAGAATCTTCCATTGTCTGATAAATCAACCAAACAAGAATAATGAATTAAATTACAGGGAAGAATAAAATGCAAGGCAAGGCAAAGCAAACAGAAAGCTGCCATGAATGCTTTTAAAATCAGATCTTAGGAAAACAAAATTAACTTTCACTTAGTTCAGGGAGATAAATAAAGTGACTGTATGTGCTGACTCTTTGTTTGCAATAAAGTATTTCATATGGCAGGTTTTAAAATAACTGAAAGCTTTCCCCATGTTATCTTATGGTCCTTTCTCACGGTACCAGTGCCATTGAGGCTATAGTGAAACCCTTCAATTCCAATTGGAGCTTCTAGCTGTTACTGTAAAGAATTCAGCAGTAGTTGCTTAACAATGAGGAATTATTTAGTTTGGTACTAACTGTTGCACAAGGAAGATCAGTATTTTATTTGAGCAGCTGGCCATTTTCTAATTATAGATATTTAAGCAGTAAAATATTTGTACTGGAAAGTATCACTGTGGTCCAGATAGTTCTTTCAACAAGAGGACCTCGCTGCTAATTACAGTGAAGTATACACCAATGTATTTCCCTCGTATTTCTGTGCAAATACAGAGACATTGGCTCAGCAGAGGCAGATTGTGTGCATACACATAATGTACAGTCATATTTAGGGATTTAATTGGTAAAGCAGGCTGCAAGCACAGGAATCTTTGACTATATCAACTCTTTAGAAATTCACCGCTAGATGTTGCATAATTTTACTTTTCCACATATGCTCAAGCTGACTCAGATGCCTGTAGCCTATGTGCTTCCCCGGCATCCCGCCTGGGGAAGTTGGTAATGCTGTCAACTTTAACTGCTGTGCAAAATTGTTCTAGAATTAGAAGAATATTCTGTCAGAAGTATTCTCTGTGTGACTCCTACTCCTCCATAATTAGGTCTTACAAAGGCCTAATGTAGTTCCAGGAATAAAAGTTTTCTTATTCCATTTGCCTTTTTCTGCCTGGAGGGAGTGAAAAGGGGAGCATCTGACCATTTTAGTTTATAAACTGACTACCGGACTTGGTTTATGTCCAAGTGTGACATGCTAACAAAATTTAAAATGGTGCTGGTGGGAGTCGTGAAAAACAGCAACAGGGAATGCAATTTGGTAGAGCAGAGAGTGTGCAACTTCTCAAATAGTGTGCGATCGATTAGTGGAACAAACAGAAAAGTTTTAAAACCACATTTACAATAGGAGCAACCTCAATGGCATCTTCCCTGCAAGTGGGACAATACGGGGGAGCCTTTTCAAGGGCACAGTTTACTGCATATCTTCATGTTTCCACAGAAACAACAGAAAACCATTACTGAATGCCTTTCACTCACTTCCAAACCTCCATACCTTTCAGGGTAGGTGGTTAAAGCTCTTGGTATGAGAGACTTAGGGGCAAATCCGTCCAATGATTAGTGACAGGAATGTAGTTGGAACTGGTTGAAAGTCTGCCAGAAAATCAAATATCAGAAGCCAAATCAGAGCTGCCCGGTGTGGTCACAAAGCTCAGACAGCACAGAAGGCTGGTTTTGCTTAGCAGGCGCCCGCTGTTGTCTGCTGAAGGCAGATTGTGCCTGTACTGCACTGGCTTGGTCCAGAGCATTCATCAGAGTAGTTCTATCAATTTGTATGGTTGATCCACTCATTGTTTCATTTTAAAATTTACATAGTGTATACTGAGGGCTCGTGAACAGCATGACCTGAATTGTACTCCAGAACACCTTTAATAATTGTAAGTCTATTTAATTTGACTTAATTTATGCATTTAAAAGAAGTCTTCTTTTTATTCCTAAACTTAATAACTGAACAC